CTTCCGATCTTTCCAAAGAAAAACAGCTGGCACACTTTCCTCAGTCAGTAAGGTTTTGTTTCAGTGGATAGCTTGTTACTTATCCAACAAAACACATGGGATCCCACACACATTACCATATCTGGAGCTCTGATGTTAAACTTCAAAAGTGTAAATCACATTTGCTCTGCAGAAACATTAGAAGAGAAAAAGAAAACGCCATTGAACCTAAAAGAGTCCCTGCTGTCAGAACGCTGTCTGCTCAGCTTGTGTGGTCCATTCCCCAGAGGCCTGATGTGTCAATCACACTGAAATCTTATGGGAAGAAAGTTACAGGTTTTAATAAACAGATTTGAAGAATATTTAAGACAACCAAACACTGTAGGTCTTTCAAAAAACAATACATTGTTATCATACCCAAAGGCCTATCCTGAGCACCTGCTACTGTAATATGGTGTCATGTAACAGTAGATTCAAAAGTTTCAGTGTAGAGCATCATCAAAACACACTAATTTTGTGGCCAATTGCCACAAAAATAAAGCCTACCATTTACAAAAGTCTTACCCCTGATAATATAACATCTCCTGATTCAGTAAGAGCAGCCTCTTTGGAATCCACAAACAGAAAGCAATTCTTCATCAGTTCATCATCCAGTTCTCTCCAGTTTGGTCTGCATGCTCCAACAGCTAAGACAACAAAACTGATAAACTTGGGAGCAATGTTTAAAACAAATTCAAACCACATGTTGTTCAAAAGACGTGCGAAATAACAATGGACATTATTGTAGAAATGTAACATACAAAAAATCCATGTTAGCCATGGAGATGTGTTGATTGATAAGACAATGAAAAAGCATTCAATGTTTGATTTGTGAGTAGAATATCCTTGTCAGTGGACTCTGGGTAACCTTGTAACTTTATAAGCAGTATAAGTTGAACAGACTACAGGTTTTCATTTATCTGGAGAAACTGAAAACAAATCAAGGAGCTTAACTTCTTACACACGGCACCAAGATCAATATCCACTTCTTATGGGATCAAAAAACAAACAAGAAACCCAACAGAAAGTAAAACAATCACACAGTTATACTGTAATCATATTTTTCTTAAGTGTCCAACTGTTATGGAAAAGTAAATTCCACATTGCCCAAATGCCTCCTCAAACAACACAAATGCCTCAATGAAGAGTAAAAAAAAAGGCAAAGAAAGGAGGGAAGTCTTTGTGTCTGTGTCGCTTCAGTGACTCTGGACCTTAATTGATTTGGGTTGTATTTCTGGCTTCCATGCCATGACACAACACAGACAACAACTGTCAATGACAAAGGACTAAATTGAGGTTGAAAATTTGGTAGGATGCTGCTGGAATGTGGGACCTTTCTTTAAATGGTTCCCTTGGAGAAGCTGCTTTTGTCTTATTACTATGCTATCTGGAAAGGCCACAAGGTCATCTAAACCAGGCCCACAATTAATCAAAATAAACAAAGAGGGGCATGTCCAGAGACTCCAAACAATAGTGTGGCAACATCATTACATGGCAGGCAACAACAACAACAACAACAAAAAGCACCCCCCAAACCTCACCAAAATTACAGGACAAATTATGAAGTTCTTAACTCAGTTATTCCATCTTTGTAACTCAGGCAAAAAAGGAAATTAATGTGATCAGCCCAAAAAGAAACAAACAGAGAGGCTACAAAAGAGGTGGAAGAAAAGATGACAACTACCAGGGAAATAGTACAATGAGCAGCAACTACTGAGGAAATAACATGTTTGAGTGGGTCATTTAAATGGAGAGCAAGGTAAGAATAAGGGACAACATGAGGGCAAAGAGGATGCACCACCAGGGAAAAGAGTGGTCCTCACTAAAGAGGAAAAGTCAAAACAAAAAGAACATTCAGTCCAAAGACACAGAACTGCCTTTCAACAGATGTTGATGCCAAGCAAGGATAATAAACACATATTTTACACAATGAGAACACAGCCTACCATTGATGTGGGCACCTGGCTTTACCCAGGCCCCAGACAGGATGGGTTCTGTTGCCATGGTGACTGTTACAATCACATCAGCCCCAACAACGGCCTCCTGGGCAGAGGAGCAAACCTGCACGGGACCATGGACAGAGCTGGCAAACTTCTCTGCTTTCTCCTTGCTGCGATTCCATATCCTGACCTGCAAGGGGAAAAGGAGATAAAAAACGACAGATGAGCTTGGAGAATTTCTCCTTGCTGAAGCAGAATACTTGGTCTCAGTTTTCCATAGATAGTCACATGTATCCTAAAGGTTGGGCTTTTGTTTCCATTTAATGTTCTCACCACACAAGTCACTGAATTCATGAGCGTCCAGCTACATTTCAGCAACTGTTCTGTGATAACAGAGTAACAGCTCCTTCTCAAATGAAAATATTTCCAATAAACACTTTTAAGCAAAAGTCACAGAAAGCTTATCAAAGTATGACAGGCAGGAACTTTGGAGAGACAGCCTTGGTGTTGTGGGAGCACTGCTCAGCAGTAGCCAAAATACTGAGGTGTTGTCAGCACCCTTCGAGCTGCCAGTGCAAAGCACAGCACTGGGAGGGCTGGGGAGAACATCAGCTCCATCCCAGCCAGACCTCACACAACTTCATTGCCTGTACTTTATTTATATTAAACCCCAAAACATAAGAGAGAACAATAAATGGATCCTGTGAAGATGTGTCCATTACCTCTTTAAATGTGAAGAGTTCTGTGAGGATTTCATAGTGGCTGTATGCTTGAACACCAGCTCCCAAAATGCACAGCACCTCTGCAAAAGCTGGCATTAACAACTGAATGGTATCAAAAATAAAGAGAACATGTAAGAACAAGAGATGCACAGATATTACAAACATTTCAAAATGCTACAAAAGACAGCAGCACAGTCCAATATTAGCAAAATGCATTACACCCACATGACTGATTAAGTAAGTGTAAAACCATAGTGTTGATGTTCTGTGCTGGCTGAAAACAGGGCTCACAATTCCAAAAGCTCTCTGTGCTGACAGTGGCAGCTGCACAGGTAAACTGGTCTTGGTGGCCCCACCCTAAAACACCTCTTTGAATTTACTCAAGCCACACATTGTACCACAAACACATCCAGGCATTGCAAGAGCCATCATTCCTATGCATCATTGTCAAAATAGGGATGGTTCTGAGGAACAAAGAATAAAATTGAATTCTGTAGTTGCTTTGGGTTTTCTGGTTTCCTTCTTGCCTG